TGTCAAAATCTGGAAAGAACTTATCTAATTGTAATTCATCTATAGAGAAGTGATAACTATTAAGGCATAGTGATGGAGGAGAATGAAAAAGGATGGGCCTTGGGACAGAACTCTGATGAACTTGTAGCATGTAAGAAGAATCACTAGAACAGAGAAAGGGAAGGAATGGAGGGATATCAGCTTTAAACCAGAGGTGGTAGTCAACAGTGACAAATGCTTAAGAAAAATTAAAGGACAAGGAATTAAGGAAAGGTTAGTTGAATCCGTCATTAGTTATTTATTAGAGAGACTGAAGGTGATTGTGGTGATGGTTGCACAACTCTGAAAATACTAAAAACTATAGACTTGTATACTTCAAATGGGTGATTTGTACGGTATATGAATTATATCTCAATAAAGTGATACACACATATAAATAAGAGAATATTTTTAGAAGTACAGTGGGGGAGAAGGCAAAGTACAAGGGGTGATAGGGAATGAACAGGCTATGAAACAGGTTATTCTTTTGAGGTGTCTGTTGCTCAGAGAGAGTGACAGGATGGAATAGCAGTGGGTAGGTTTTGTTGTTTTGTTTCTTATTTTTTTCAGCATAAAGGAGAATGAAAAATGTCCACAGCCACAAAGAAAGGAATCACTAGAGGAGTCTAAACAAGCCATTGAGAGGGGGTTAACTGGCCAAGGGATAATTCAAAACCATGGTAAAAAAGTTAACTGTAGGAAATTCTTTCTCTGAGAAGGGAAGGAAAAGTTTAAGAAAGATTAAAAAAAAGTCTTTTGGCTGGGCACAGTAATCTCAGCACTTTGGAAGGCAAGAGGATCACTTGTGCCTAGGAGTTTGAGGTTGCAGTGAACTATGATCCTGCCACTGCACTCCAGCCTAGGTGACAGATATATATATATATATATATATATATATTTTAAGGGGGAGGAAGTAACTCATAAAAATCTCAGAGTTCCTCCATTTTCTCTGAGAAGTAGAGTGCCAAGACATCTGCTGAGAGGAAAAGGGCAGAATGGGAAAAAGTGTCAGGAATAACCCAGCAGGGGTGAAACCATAATGGAAAAGAATCTCAGTCACTCTGAGTTGGTCACTCTGGTTCATGCCTATAATACCACTGTGCTTTAAAAAGCTGAGGTGGGAGGATTGCTTAAGGCCAGGAGTCTAAGACCAACCTGGACAACATGGTGAGACCCTGTCTCTTAAAAAAAAAAAATTAGCTGGGCATGGTGGTGCACAAACTCTTGAGCTGAGTTCTAGCCTGGGCAACAGAGTGAGACCTTGTCTTTAAAAACAAACAAAACAAGAATCTCAGTCTGCAAATAGATAAATACTCAAGTCTGTTTACCTTGCTAACATTGACCAAACTCCATGCTAATAATCCCAGTCCCTTTAGACTCTGGGGCAGAATGAAAATACATGAAACAAAATGAAAACAAATGTACATAAATAGAATAGAAACAGTCCTCTAAATCACGTATCTCTCTGAAAAAGTTCTTGCCTCAGTTCTATAACCCTGTTCCTGATTACTTTTCAATTTTTTTTTTTACAAGACCCTAATGTTACAAATTTTCTCATTAGCAGTTTGTGATTACCGTGAAAATGACTGGGATTTATGAGATCCATAAAATGAAAATCTCTCCATAAATAAGCAGCATGTCAAGATATTTTAGCAGCACCTTTCAGGAATGTGCTTTAAGTATATCATTTTACATGATGAAAGATTAAATACATTTTCAACATTTAGAATTATGGAAACAACAGTAAAGGTCACTACTCAATTCTCTCACCCAGTACAGAAATTCCCTCTTAATAACCGTAGTATGTGGCCACTCACTAACCTTGTTTGGCCACTTTCATGAATGAGACCTTTTTAGTTTACAAAGCAGTCTATGGCATTGCTGGGTATTAGTAATTGGTGTTTACATAATTTTTGTATTAATCTTGTATTGATTTTTGTCTGTTCTGTTCATCCCCTAGATCTGCTACATAGATGGCACAAAATAATGAATGAATGAAATCTGCCTTTTAGCAACTCTCTGTAACTCCCATCTAGCTCCCTAAGCCTTGAAAATACACTTCCCTTATCTACTGATTGCTTTTCAAACATGTAAAGACATGTTTGACATGTTACCCTTCTCTTGTCCTCAGCTTTTTAAAGCACAGTGGTATTATAGGCATGAACCAGAGTGACCAACTCAGAGTGACTGAGATTCTTTTCCATTATGGTTTCATCCCTGCTGGGTTATTCCTGACACTTTTTCCCATTCTGCCCTTTTCCTCCTTTCTTCCAGGGTAAACAAATCTGACCATTTTTCTCAATGTGGTTTTTAGTGTTTCAAGGTCCTCTCAAATATTAGCAATCAAAATGGAAAAAACACTCTTTATATGATCTGCATAGTACATGGGGGGAGGGAGGCTACTAACAATTAGCAACATGTTCATTGTGTGTCCACTGAGTTACAGCGTGCTTGCAAGCTATATTTTCTTACCCTCACAACTTACCACTGAGAAAATGCAGGCAAAGAGACACGAAACAACTTGCCTAATTCACACAGCTATCGAACGGCAGAGCCACAATCTGTCTTACTTTTTTAGACTGAGATACTGCCTTCCCTCAATGCAGACACCACTTTGCTTCTGTAAATGGAACATGACATCCTAGAACCACTTTTGTGAAGCCAGCTCTTCCTCATTTCGAACATGTACAACTGAGTTTTTGTAAATTTAAACACCCCTAGTAAATTTATATTTTGTCAGTTTTGGGCTATTATTTCAGCATTTAAGAACTCTTTGGATAAGTGTCATCTAACATGCAAGCTAATTATCACTACACAGTTTGAATGCATTTATTAACTTGAGAAGCATGCTTCTTATATATTTAAAGTTGGTAATAAAAAAGTATTAACCAGAGTAAGGGCAAGACCAGAGGCCTGTAGCATACCTCTAAAGACCTCTCTCCAGGATGACACCAACACATTACTCAACATTTTGGGTTTGGTAATTTGAGCGGACATAAATCCATCTAACTATACCTTTCCAGTGTATATTTATCTCTTGTGTCTACTGGAATAGAAAGAGAGATTATGTTGAGTGTCTGAAGGAAACCTAAATGGACTTATGGCCAGCAAGCCTCCATTAACTACCAGTCTCGTAAGCTTGTGACAAAAAGAAATATGATTTGTGTCACCTGACCTTTTCTTATTGAAGTTCCGCTGGTTTGAGGGAATCAGATCTCCTTTCCCAGTACTCACAAACTCTCTTTTTGCTCTCCCAACAAGACTGTAAAACAGATTATGAAAAGTTCCAGCATCCAAGAGCCACCTAATTCCTTGCTGTGAAAACTAAACATTTACCAGACTCCAATCTGCTATTAACTGTACTTTTAGGATTCCTGAAAAGCTATGAACAATGATTTTACAATCTTATCTGCAATTACTCTGCCACATAATTTATCTGAGCTGGAAAACATAAATTAGATTGAACCCAGTTAGATATTCTTTATAATCTCAATTGCCTTGTATTTAATTCCTTTTGATTTTGTTTGTCCTTACATAGTTTTAGAGAAAACAAGCAAAAAACATTTTCCTCCCCTTTAGACACTTAGCAAATTTATTGCTTTCAAACATAATCTCTTGAAATGAACTAGTTCATTTTATAGGTCAAAACTATGACCAACTTTTTCTTTATGACATTCAATTTTAGAAGTAGCATTTGAAATTTAAGAACCTCATTAACAACTATGTCTCTTTATTGCTTGTTGGTGCAAACTACATTTTCAAAATGGAACAAATGTTAAGCATGATTGAGCAAGAATCAACTACTATGCTTGAATAATGCAACACAATATAATAAAAATGAGACAAAAGGGGGAAAACCCTAAAATTAGATGGTAGTCACTCTGAAAAAAATAAAACAATCCTTGACAATTATTACATTTATAGTCAAGACTACTTAACAGGTAAGCATCCTAAGGACAATAACAATTGTAACCAAAATGTCTATTAATACTACTACCACTACCATCATCCGTCCATTCTTTCATTCAGCAATATAGAGGGCTTATTAAACGTCAAGCAGTGTTCTAGGCGCTGGGGATTGAAAACTCCGTGCTTTCATTCTAGGAACATCACTAACGCAAACCTTTAATGGGCACCTACAATTGCAAGGCACCGTGCCAGGCAGCTTTAAAGAGCGATCTAGAATACGAGACACAAACATTACCAAGTTTGCCTTAAAAACATAAAAGACCGCCCTTAAGAAACGCTCTTTGAAGTCGTTCCTAACCTTAGATGACTTGGCGAAAGCTCCGCTTAACTGGAAATCCAAATTTAGGGAGTGTTACCGAGCGTACTTTTTGCAGATAATAGTTTAAAAGCTTTTAGATAACCTTTAGACTTACGCCCCAACTTTTTAAAGAACCATTCCTCCCGTAAGAAACCAAATCAACCACTCAGGAAAGGGTCGGTAAGGACGATGTCTCGGCAAGAACGAATCCAATCGCGGAAGCGCCTTTGCCTCATTTCTAGTCCCACCCTTGTTAACGTGGCTCTTCAAACTCCAAAGTCGAAGTATCCAGATATGAAACAATCTCCAAAGTCTCAGGCCTAACTAAGGTTGGGACCGACACGCCGCGAAATAATTGGGAAGACGCGGGTAGTCTGCGGCTGTGAGAATAGGCGCGCGCGTGCAAGACCCCTGCCCCTTTTTCCCACCTGCAAGAAAGTCCCCGAACTCTAACCGCCCGCTGCAAGGGCCGCTACCAGTTCCAGGATCCGCCTGGCCTCGCTGTCCCGCCCCTGCGCCTCAGACCCTCTTCCGAAGCCCGCCCTACAGCCCCTCGTCGCCCGCTAACTTCAGTGTGCACTTGGGGTTATCGGAGGGAGGCGGAATCCGGGAAGAAAGACTCCGCTAGTGGATGGCGGCAGCTGACCATACCCCACTCCAACCTCCAGGTACGTGGGAGGTGGGCGGCGCTGCCCGCAGTCGGTCGGTCACTTACCCCTCGCCTCAGGCAAGCCCCTTAGCGACGTCTCTCCTTGCCGACTGCGGCCATCTTGGATGTGGAATGTCGGGGAACTACGTCATCACTCTGCGTCTCGTGACGAAAAACAAGCGACCGGAGGGGCGGTGAGAGTTGGATGCCTGTCAACCAATCAGAAGAAAGTAGAGCACTCAAAGGAGGAACGAGCCGCCTGTCTCCTCCCCGTCCGCCCCGCGGGTCAGTGGCAACTGCGTGCAAGAGGAGGAGCTAGCCAAAGGGCCCAACCCGTCGGTCCCGCCCCCCGGGCGAAAGGGAATTCTGAAGCAACCGAACCTGCTAACGGAACTTGGACGCAGGGGCGGGGCCGGCGCTCATGCCATCCAATCAGAGCTCGGGCGTGGGCGCAGTCCTGCCAATGGTGGCCGCGGGGCTGGCGGCGGCTGAACCGGCCGCTCTCGCCCCGGGAAGCTGCCAGCCCACTGGCTGGGGAGGACCCCGCGCGGAACGGCGGCTGGGCGGCGGGGCGGGGCCGCGCCCATGCGTGTGAGGCGCGGGCCAATGAGCGGCGGCGGCGGCAGCCCGGGGGCGGGGTCCGGGGGCGGGCGGAGCCGGGTTGGGCCGCGGCGGCAGGGCCGTCTCAGGCCGCCGTCCCGCCCCTCCCGTCCGGCAGCCGCCGTCGCCGCCGCCGCCGCCGCCGCCACCACCTGGGGGTTGGTTGAGGCGGACGGTGGAGTCCGGGCTGGAGTGTGTAGCTCCCGCTGCGCGAAGGGGAAGCGGGCAGGTGAGTACCGGTGGCCGCTGGCCGCTGAGGAAACTCGCGCCGCCGCCCCCTGGCACTGCGAGGCCGTCCCCTTCCCGGCCAGCGTCCCTCGGCCGAGGTCCGGCCCGCGCCCGGCCTGCCGCTCCCGGCCCGGGGCGCCCTGCGGCGGGGGTGCGCCCGGTGGGGGGCATGGCGGGTCGGGGGGCGCCTCTCGGCCTCTGCCCTGACGGCCCTGCGGGGCGAGGGCGCGCGCTCGCCGTTGCCCCCGTCCCCTACCGGCGCCGACGCTCCGCGTGCCCGCGCCTCCCGAGGCCCGGGGGGTGGCAGGTGCAGGGAGCGCCCTCCCCGCGCTCGCCTCTCGTGCCCAGCCCCGCGCGCCCGCTCTCGGGTGGGGCCCGGGCCCCTAGCACTCGCCGGCTTGGCTCTGCGCGCGGCCGGGTCGCGCTCTCATTTCCTTCCTTCCTCCCGTCACCCCACTGTTGGGGGAAGGCTGTGTGGTTTTCATGTTCCTCTCTCTCCAAACCTTAGGTGCCCACCCGGCTGCCTGGGGACCAGTCCCTGCTTCTCTCCTGTCACCGTCCAGTTATAAAGACAGTCGTAGGAAATAGGTCATCTTTCTTCCCACGCGCCCCTGGCCATATTCCACACGCGCAGTGCCCTGCTAGGGAGAAGAATTCAGTGCTTTAGAGTTTGTCATTCCGGTTTTAAACTCTTCCTCTTCATGGCTGCAGCCTGGCGATGCAACTCTGCCTCTACCCCGTTTCCACCGGGGAACAGGAGCTGATCAGTGACGTGTGCCACTTGCTGCCGGGGGCCTCACCCCCGCCGTGCGGGTGCTGGGAAGAGGACGTGTGAGTGTCGTAGGAGAGGTACTAACGTGTTTAGAAGCACTCTGAGCGTATTCTTTTGCTTTTCTAAACGAAGGAGGTGATGTTTCAAAGGCACAAATACTTGTATGTTGACAGATTAATTTTGCTTTTAAGAACCTTCCAAGAGTTAACCTTTTAGCGATGGATCTTTTCATAGCTTGATTATGGTGGCTTGATTATGGTAGGCGTTTGTCAAAACTCAGAACTGGAAACTGAGAAGTGTGTATTTTGTCTTGTGTATACCTCTCCTTCTCCCGTTTTTCTTCTCAAAATTGACCTTACCGATATTTGAAAATTGAACTAACCGGCAGTAGTTTTGGAGAGGTGTTTATTATTTTAGGTGAATGCATTTAACTCAAGAATACAGCAAAATAAAAGCAGCTATCCTCTCCACTGGTTAAATTTGCCAAGACTTGCTTAACCACGCTGTACTGTGTTTATACGGGCTACTCTGCGTAGACTCCTGCAGTTCCAAATTAGTCCCGGGGGCTACTGTGATTGATATTTTGGTAAAGTTCCAACAGTTTACGGAGGAGTTTTTCTCTGGCCCAAGAAAGTAGTTTGGAAAGCCAATTTCTCAAACAGCTACAGAACAACCTCTTTCTTGGTACCCCAAACAGCCTTGGTTTTTAGCCTTCTGCTACCCCTTTTCTGTCTGCCTCCTTTCTCTCTGTGTATTCAAGGTTGTAAGTTAATATCTCAAATGGAACTCTAGTCTGAGTTTTAAAATGGTTGCTGCACCTCTCCCTTCTCCAGTATGCTAACATCTCAGTGCTTTTTTCCCTGAAATAGGAGTGATGTTGGACTTGAAGATTAAAACACTTATGTCTGTATGTACTGTAGAAGTGAAAGTTTCTGTTCCAGCCCTGTCCAAAAGAGTGCAATGAGATTTTCAGTAAGAAAGTAACGCTATTGAGCTTCTCTTCCATGTTGTGGACATTTAGACCACATTTTAAATGATGATTAAACTTTTGCTTTAGAAGCCACCGGATAATGAGAAAAATGTGAAGGTTGTACTCGGATGTTATTCCTTTCTAAAGTTCAACCACTAGAAAACTTTCTGTTTCAAGAACTCTGATAAATGGTCACGACAGCCTCCTTAAAACGTGATGCTCTCTCATCTAAAAGAGAATACAAAAGGGTGACAGCAGTAGGGGAAACTGTCAGCATCAGCATGATAGAGGTGGGCTTGTAAGTAGCTAGTAGATAATCCTAGTAGATAATCATTGAATTTAATGAGAACCAGATACGTAATTTGTACTGTGTGGAATTTTAGTAAAAATGTGAGTAAAAATCCTACCTCCAAGACAGGGTTACTCAATGATGTTGACTAGATGTCAGTTTAGTTTGAGGCTTTCCAAGTCTCTTAAATGTTTGAATTACATAGCCTTTTTTCTTATCATTAGTCCGAAGTAGCTTTTAGAAATGTAACTACTAATACTGTATCTTTTTTGTGTGTAGTTTGATGAATATCTTTCACTGGGGAGGTTGTTTATCTTTAGAAACTGGCTTGCTTGTTCACTGGCTGCTGTGTGTGGTGCTTCTGTTGGGGGTGAGGAGGAAGAGTTTCAAGTGCGTTTCCTTCCATTGGACCAAAGTCCTGGGAATGGAGTGATCATTTTGTTCCCCCATAGGGAACAAGAGTCATTTATTATTACAGCATTAAATATTTTTGACAGAACAGTGAATATGTCTTTATGTTACTTTGGAAGTTGCTTATGGCTAGTTATTTGCTTGCTCAATTGGCTACCGTTATATATGGGCCCATTGTTTTAATCAGTGAAAAATATTTTGATTTGCTGTGCATCCTTTGGCTCTTGCTACAGGCATGTAAGTGCTAATCTGGGTTAACAGGTCATCCTGGGTCATATTTAACCGTTTAAGAGTATTAGACTGAGGATTCCTTGATTTTAAAAATTTCTTCAGTTTTCACTTTGTTGCATTTGAAGATATACCTTACTTTGCTAAATGGATTTCTGTACATTGGATTTCCTTTTATCATCTCATTTTCTTATTCATAAAATTGCAGATGTTAAATATTTTGATATACAAATAGAGCTAATTAACATAATGTTTACTCTCAGTGTAAAAATAAATTTCTAGCAAAATATTAATAGACAATATATTTTTCTGTTACAAAGAAATTGAAACTTGGTGTTTTTTAAAGTCATTTAACAGTCTTATGGAAAAGAAAACTTAATTAGCAGAATCTGCAAGATGAGAAATCCTGCTTTTTATTGTTAAATTCACCCAGTAATTGAAACGATGTATTAGCTATGTCAACCCCATTTCCATCTGGGAATCTTCTCTAGATTTTGGAAATAAACAGATCATAAAACAAGAGGTAAAAACAAATACTGACAATTTTTGACTGAGATAAAGTTGAATGGAAAAAAATATTTCCAATTGGTTATAAAATTCAAATACCAAAGTTAAGAGTTTGAAATTGTTTTTTTCTTATTTCAAGTACTTGCCAAGTAGAAGTGAACTAATAATGAAGGTTAAGTCAAAACTCTGTTGGCTGACTAGAAGACATGTCTATCTCTGGAGTTAAGATTTTGAAATGGATCTGCTGATTACTGAGCCACAGTGAATTTTTAGCCTTTTATAAGACTAGCCTCAGTAATGGGTGGGGAGATTGGGGAGGGCAGAGGGACAGAGCAGAAAGAAATACTTCTACCATCTTTTAGAAGGACAAGAAATGGTCTAGAGCTGTGGTCCCCAAGCCCTGGGCTGTGGACCCATACCAGTCTGTGGCCTGTTAGGGACTGGGTTGCACAGCAGGAGCGAAGCTTCATCTGTATTTATGGCTGCTCCCCATCGCTCGAATCACCACACAAGCTCTGCCTCCTGTCAGATCAGGGGGGCATTAGTCTCAGAGGAGCACGAACCTTACTGTAACCTGTGCATGCGAGGGATCTAGGTTGCGCGCTCCTTATGAAAATCTAATGCCTGATGATCTGAGGTGGAGCTGAGGTGGTAATGCTAGCGCTGGCAGCGGCTGCAAATACAGATTATCATTAGCAGAGACGTTCGACTGCACAATAAATGTGATGTGCTTGAATCATCCTGAAACCACTCCCCCCACTCTCTCTTCTGTAGAAAAATTGTCTTCCATGAAACTGGTCCCTGGTGCCAAAAAGACTGGGGACCGCTGGTCTAGAGAATGTAATCGAGTGTCTATATAGAGCTTCTTTTATTTTTTTGATTGATAAAAATTGTATATTTAATAATACACAGCACTGTTAATAAATATTCAGTATTTTAGGTTTATTACTATCTATGATCCTGCATTTCACTTTGCATTTTTCTAGAATACAATTCATTAGAACGTAACAAGGTCTACTAAATTCTTCCAACTAAATGATTTAGAAGTTTCAATCTCAGAAAATAGGCATGGCTCTTCAATATCTGTTTTCTATTAAGCACAGTGTTGAAAAATACTCATTAAAGTTGCTCATGCCATAAAATACTTACCAGTGACTAATAAAGTTTTTCATTTGTTGATTGTAGTAATTTAGCATTGATACA